ATGTAATTTCAATATACAATAACTTACAAATCCGAAATACATTCCCCCCATTCAATGTTCATTTGAATCACCTAAAATTATAGAATCAACAAAATCTCCTCCCTCCTTATGTGTATTAAACTAGAACTGGGAAAACTAACTGAAATGGGGAAACGTATCAAAATTGTTTGGGTTCCTTCGCACGTAGGAATAGTTGGCAACGAAACTGCGGACACATTAGCTAGAGAGATTAGCTCAAACCCACACAGTCTAACAACTCGCTGTGTACCACATGAAGATTTGATCCATTAAATACGACAACTAACAATAAATACATGGAGGAAAAGATGGCAAGCTCTGGAGAATAACAAGCTCAAAACAATCAATCCTAGCTTAAACTTCCAAAATTACCTATCACTCTCTCGTAAACATCAGACAATTCTAACCCATCCCAGGATTGGCCACACAAGGTATACCCACCAGCATCTACTGAAGAAAGAAAACCCCAAAAGATGTATTTCCTGTGATGAAGAATTAGATGTGAAACACATCAAGGTGTATACTACAGAGAGGAGAGATTGTCAACACTGAAGGCATCACTGAAGAAGTTAGTGATGCCTTGAATCCAGATAAATGTGAGATTTTACTAAAGTATCTGATATCTATAAACATTGTACATCTAATATGATTGTGATGTGATTCAAATTGTACTACACCGCTAATAACCTTTGTTGTTGATGCGGTTATATTAAATAAGAAAAAGAAAACAAAATCTTCAGGGTCTTGAACAACAAGTTTGTTATAAAATGTATTGAATGCGCTGGAAGTTTCAGTCCAACCAACTGTGTTTTTCATAGTATCTATATTGACATCCAATCTAAATGGTAAGGAAGTGGCTGAATGCCGAATACTATGATTATCGAATATGTTAGTATCCACTCCACCGCGCTGTAATATGTTTTCGATCCAACGCCCCGGATTTGTGATGAAGCAGGGTGAAAAGATTTGATATGAGTTAATATGACAAAGTTAATTCCTGCCCTGCGACTTGGTTTTGTTTTTCCAATATAATAACCTAATGATGGAGCTACACAAAGTTCCGGCTTATCTCGAAAATATATGAAGATAAGCTCAGTTTTTTTTTGTTTGGCCTTAAGGTTTTAATACGTTCAGAAATTTCAATTTCAAGCCTAGTCCCAGATTTTTGAGACTGTTTGTACTATCTGGGCTGTTTTTAACACTAATAATGTAGTTTATTTCATTGCAAGGTCTTTGAGCGTGATTTTATCGGAAGGAAACATTCATGCCAAAGTTTGTAATACTGGGTTCGGATCCCAAGTGAAAGAATACTTGGGACGCGACGATCATTTTAAAAGCTTATATCTATTGTTATTTCAACATATTCATCGTCAGTCCATTCAACCTACCTATGTAGGTATATTCGAGACAGGCTTGAATATTTAAAGTTCATTTCTTTAGATTAGTTTACTGCCAGTCTTCAAGCATAGCCCACTGACTAATAAGAAAGTTTTTCTTCCTTATTAAGAGAAATCGGGCAAATTTCGGATATGCAGTTGGTTAGTACCTCGTCCACTAGACGGAGTGACATTTTTGATATTCGCTCTAACTTAAGACGAGGAATGAAATACTCTGAAAGAATTTCGATTTTCAATTATGGAGTATTATTGACTTTAGGTCGATGATGGTCACTATCTTGCACTGACAAGTGGCTAAGGAGCCCGAAACCGGTCTGGAATGGTGCCCGTTCCAAAATTGAAGGTCGACTCTTTCAGTTGTATTGCCAATTGCATATGCAGGAAATTTTCTGTGATTGGATTATATCCGACGCCTGTCGGATATAATCCAACGCCGTTCGTGGTATTAGCCAGTGGAGTAGTTGTTTTCTGGTAGGCGTCAGTCCATTCAACCTATTGTGTAGGTATATCCGAGACAGGCTCGAACATTCAAAGTTCATTTCTTTAGATTTATATTCATCCATATTACCAAAAGATAATAATGAAGGGTTTTCTCAAATTTGGATCTGAGATATTTCGGAAATATTTCAAGTACATTGATAAATGAATGACCGCCCGATAAATCAACTTTGGCCATAAAATGATTTTTTTATAATAGTTACACAACAGTTTTATAGTTCTCCTTTTGAAATGAGGTGCAGAGATGAATCGAATCAATTTTTTCAGGTTGAGAATAAATCTAAAAGTTTTATTCCGTGTTTGAATCAAGAAATAAATAAAGAGAAATTCACTCTTTGAGTCTTTGCATTTCCAAGGAAAGATAATTTTTTTTTGTAGGTACTTGATGAGGTTTTTTATCATCCTTCATTTCTTGGCACGCTTTTCGTGCAGATTGACTTGTTTTAAATTTTTACAAAAACTCTGATCCAAAAAGGTAGTCATCAGTTGGTATCTGAAAGAGGCTGCTCCGTTATCCAAATTGATGGATGGAATTTTTGAATGAATGGAATAGGTGAAGGACGCGTTTTGAGGAAAAAGGCAGTGTCAAGCATCAGAAAAGGCAAGTAGTGAATGAAATCGCAACAAATTTATAGAATGAAGTAGCGGTGATACTTGCATTTGAAAGTATCGGCATAGTAATTAGACATAATATGCACTACTACTCAACAGAGAATCTCTGTTGGACGAGAGAAGTTAATAACCAAAACAGATGGTTGATAAATGTTTGGGGGAGGGGCATAATTAGGGATCAGATCACAGGACCATGTTTCTTTGATGGACTTCTGAATAGAAAAATTTATAGACATTTCCTCCGAAATGATTTGTCATATGTGTTGGAGGATATATCCATTGATACAAGGCATACGTCATATTACCAATGAGATGGTATACCTCCCCATAACCAAAATTGAGGTTTCTAAACAGGTGGCCTAGAAATAAATAGATTGAAAGAAATGGACCCATTTACTGGCCAGCACGATCTCTAGACCTCACGCACTGGGTTTCTATCTGTGGGTATATGTTAGAGGGGAGGTTTATCATGACAAATGAACGACACCAGAAGTCACAAAGAATAGAATTTGAGAAGTTTTTCGGTCTATGACAAAATCAACTTCAATTGAATTTCGAAGGGAAATTGTTGATAGACAACATTCATGCATAGCTCAAGATAGAAGATTGTTTGAACATATACCTACTGTGAATTTGTGCACTTTAAAATCAATGAAGAAGAGAGAATTGAAATTGAAGGGGTTATATTTTTAGGAGAAAGAAAGTTTTTGGCTTTCTACTACTTCATCTTGATACAAAAAAAGGGATGAGGGAATCTTCCAAAGATTGTATTTCAAACATCCGTTGTGGCATAAAAATCAGATATCATTCACATGAGTTCTACTTTGAATGAATGGTAATGAATTGCACTTACATGGAACACTGTCACCCTCACTGGTATACACCGATGTTTCGCCTTAAGACACTTGCCCCAAGGCTCTCAGTACCAAATTGAATAACATCATAGAAAATACACACAATTCATTCATGAATTATGATTTTTTAATGTCACGGAATAAGCTTGATCTGATTATGTCATCGATGACATCGTAATGACAAATAGGTGAATGAATGTGAGGGTGACAGTGACTTTGAAAATGTCCTTATAGAACGAAACTGCAGTAAAGTTAGTTACAAATAAAAGTGGTAAAAAACATAGAAAGTTTCGATTCTCTTTTCTTCATTATCATCTCCTACCAAGTAGTAAAGGCTACATCCATCAGTTCACTTTGAAATTGTTTGTTTTCATTCCGTTACTTGTTCTGTTCAGCACTAAACAAAGGTTTTTGCTTCTATTTAATGACTTTCTCATATATTCATCAGAAAATATTTCCGATGGAAATACAGTGGTCAATCCCTACATTTTCTAAAAGCTCATAATTCTGGGATAGCCTTATGTACAGGGTGTTCCATCTGAAAAACTATGAAAAAAGTGATTCAAGGTTTTGTTTACTCCTATATAGAAAAAGTACCGTTCGGTGAACTTATGAAGACAAAATGAAAATACACTATCAGAATATTTGGTTGAAAAGTTCATTCATTACATTTGATCGAGTAGGAGACATTTGGTATTGAATGAACCCATTTTTTACATAAGTTTCACTATAGCTCCTGAACCACTTGGTATAAACTCAAATAACCTTATAGTTTTGAGAATCACCCTGTACGAAAAATTCAATCGAGTGAAAATATCTGCAGTATTCCATTTAGAGAAAACATAAGTTTGGTCTGTCACACTTTTATTGACCACCCTGTATATCAGTTATTATTATCGAAACATAGCTTTCATTATTCTGTACAACTTTTTCCCGAAACATTTTTTGATATTTCTAATAGGAAAGCAGCTATCCACCCACCTATAGTTGATACACCCTACGTCTATGGACGTCTAAGTGTATATACAATTCTGTAAAATTTATGTTGGAGTTCGTTTTCGGCATCAATTGATTCCCTTTTAGACACTTCATCCGCTATTGAATTTTTTGAAGAACATATGTAGGATGCTGATGAATACTATTTTTATTTTCACATCATCCACAATTTTTTTCTGAAAAGTCATTCAGATGCCTGAATTTTGTACTTCCTATTTTCGAAATACATGCTATAGCTGTATAAAGACACATCAATATATTGACATTTTTCAAATTCTCGATTTTTTAATTGGGGGTACTTTCCATCTTAAGTGATTTAATCTTATCAATTTCCATTGCTTCAATGTGGAGCCATATATCATTCACTACAGGTGCAATGGAAATTCAGGAACCGATAAGACTAGCTAAATTTCTGATTTTGCAAGATATTTTGGTTTCGAATTTTTCCGATACTATTTCAAGACGATTTTTCTTTTCTACAGATAAATCCATTGTCAAATTGTGGCTATTGAATGTGAAACCAAGATATTCAATTTATTTTATAGGTTGAAGTGAACTTTTTTCCTTTGAATCAAAAGATATATTTTCTCGACTTCGTTGAAAATGAGTGAATTAGTTGACTTACGTTGAAAATTGGAAGAACTGTTCTTTCTCAATGACAAATCCAGTAGTTCTTCATCATTAAAAGATTCTGATAAAGATTGTTGCTGACTTTCACTTGCTGGAGGTGGATTCGAAACAGAAGGAGTACGGGGACTCCATTGAATCACGGATTTTCTTGAATCTAAATTTACTTTCTGATCCCTGTTTTCTGATTGGGAATTAGAAAATTCACTAGAGCCTGATTTCAACAAACGAAGGTTTTCTTGTCGAAAATCAAGCTTTGGTTGAGCCGTTCGTGTTGATTCTTTCATAGGTTTCCTGATGATACATTGGGTATCAACAGAAGCATTGTCTGAATGTGTAGGAAGTCTTGGTTCTGGGTCTTCTTTTTCTTCATGAAGATCAGCAGTAGAAAGAAATGGTTCTGTCGTACTTTTATTTCTTATTTCTGAAGAATTCTGCATAGCAGAGGAACTATCTGTAACATGAATATTGTCATAAACTTCATCAAAGGTATTAAAAAAAAATCAAACTGGAGTGATCATTGTTATATCATGATTATTCTCACCAATTGGACGTTTTTTCAATGGAATGCGAGTAATTGCATCTTTGTTATTCTTTGATAAATACGATTTATTGTACTGAGCTGTCTCAGAAGCTTTCCCAATTTCACCATCGCCAGAGAATTTTATCGCTTTAGAAAAGATAGATTTTGCGGAAATATTTACTGGGTTTCGCATTTTTCGATCTATATTCGGGTAAATTGTATTAGTTAATTCAGTACTTGAGAATAAAAATGATCAATCTTACCGCTCAATGGGGGTGTCCAAATATTTTGTAGTTGTGACATCAGTTTAGTAACAATCTTGTGGCTATCAGATTTATCACAACTATCGTCACAACCAAAAATGTTACGCTCGTTATTTCCACTGGCAACATCTCCTGCAATCGTATCATTTTTTTCACTTTGTTCTGTTTCCATAATCGCGCACACTTACTAGCCCTTTACTCGGCGAACGTTGGAACATATGTGAGAAACTCTTAGAGCTGCTAGCAACGATGACGTAACCTTTTGGCGATAGAAGCATAACATTATCTATTGAATGAGAATGAAAATCCAAACAAAATTACTCATTTAAAACGATAAGTTCAGGTGAACAAGAGTTCAATGCAAATTCATAATAAAAATTTCTGTGATGTAGAACTATAAACATTAAAGAAGCGAATATGCTCAGGTAATAAAGATAATCGTGTTTTGTCTAAAGAATGCCATTTAGATAAGAAGCAAATAGCACATCCTGTCGATATTGTTCTAATAGACATCATCATATATAATGAATGCATACCAATTGTATTTAAAATAATAATAATTATCCCATTGATTTCATGGTGTGAGGAGGAACGTCAGCACGCCCTCTATGGTATGGGGAAATGGCAAGATCGGTGCAACCTTTTTCGTATAGTTTGATAATAATAATTAGGTCCATGGACTTTGGGCAAGACAAATCTCAAAAGAAAACGGTTTTGGACTACAGACATGTGCAGCTTATAGACAGAAGCATCCTGCTCCTTCCTGTTGGCATTTATATTGACATCACACACATATTCAAAAAGTGATAAAGCACCAGGGATTGATAATATCAAGGCTGAGATGTTGAGAGAATTTCTTTGGGATAGCTTCAGCTCTGGCACTCCTTATTGATGAAATAATGGAAACGTGTTCTTGTCAATTTGAACCAACTATAAACAATCCTCCTCTCTACATTTGAGAAGGGACAAGAAGATTACATCTAACCGTAGACCGATATCCGTTGTAATAAACTTTGCGGAAATGTTCAAAAGAATTAGAAATAAAATACCTACTTTGACTTCAGTTATGTACACTGATTCGTATAGTGGAACACTATCATTATGCATATTACAATAATTCACCGAAGCATTTGAAATAGTAGGTCGCAAGCATTTTGTGAACATGCTTCAGAATATGGGAATCCGGAGAAATGAGTTTTTTTTCGGAACAATTTAGAATCGAGAATCTAAGTTGTGGACAGTTTACTTCAAATCAATACAAGTGTGGAGGTGTTCAGTTATGCTGATGAAACCAATTGTATACATCTTTTTCCTCGGAACACAAGTATATACTGTTAACAGTGAATTTTTAAATAAAGTTCCTTCATTCAACCGGTTATTGAAATTATCTGACAAACTTGACATAAATAATAAAACAAAAATCAATTCCACCCACCACATAAAATGGGAACAATGTTTGAAATCGATCTATTACACCTAAGTCAAATCATTCTCGTATTGCTCATAGTATTCTTGAATGGGGTGAAGTACAACTCCTCACTTGGATAAACTTCGAAAATGAGCATGAATTTGAAGCCATATTAATGCATGGAAACATTAAAAAGTTACAGTACTTCTAAATCTATAGGTCAGCAATATTTTCAGCACCTCGAATTTCCAACTTCATACATTCTGATATAAGAACATGTTAACGTTTTTATTGATTTAAAAAAAATTGAGAAAGTATGTGTTGTCAATATAAATAGAAGTACGAAAATATTATATTCAGAAAGTTATTGAAAAACTATTGTTATGTTTGCATATAAAATTAACAAATTTATTGATCCATTCAATAATCTATTTTCAAAATAAATTTACTTCATTTTACTCAAAAATGTAATGGAGGTTTAGGAAAAAATTTAATAGGAATACGCTAAAAGAAACGATTTATTGTGAGATTTCCACTAAAAGAAAGTCACAAACCTCATAGTGAAAATCTCGAATCAAATTCTTAGTCTCAGTTAGTGTTAAATATAAATTTTCATCGAGTATCGGCCAGTGGTATCCAATTTCAGGAGGAATATATGTGCACGTAATCATATTGTGCTTTTTTGAATGGCCTTAATAATTATTCTCAATTAGAAATTGTACTGTGGACAGTAACTGACTTCGTCTCATCTATTTGTGAATAATTACAATATTTCATCGTCTGCCTATGAATGATATATTTGTTGTTATAATAATGATAATGATTATCTCAAAATCATGACGGTTTGCCAAACTGAGGCAAACCGGACTAATGCTGAAATCTGCCATTTTCAACTGATTGCGCCTGCAGAGAGCACATGATTCTTGGGCCCAGTGATCACTCACCTCACGCTGTGTGGAATACTCATTTGTTGATGATGCTTGTGGGCCCTCCTGAACGTATCGGGGATTCAGGGACCATCCAGCTCCACTTTCTGGAACATAATAATGATAATCAGTCGTTGAGTGTGGTGGAAGAGTACATGCATGCTATCGGTATGAAATTCTTGATAGACAAATGTACAACGGTCCATCTCAAAAGAGAACGATACGGAGACTACGAAGAGAATGTGCAGCTCATAGATCCTACACCATCTGAATTCCGGAGAGATTAATACTCACTTTAGGGTGGAACAACGCCACTCACAAGAGGTAATAGCAGTGAAGAACTATCTTTGGGGCAAGTATCAGCACAAACTCCAATAGATCTGAACTTTTGAGTTTGGAGTGTGTACGTGACAGAATGGTACTGCATGTAGCCACCAAGAGTTCGGATGCCCTTCTCTGCATGATCTACGACCACGAGAGAGCAGGAATTGCAACATTTCTCTGCAGAGTAGCTGCCCGAGCAGCTGGTGAACTCGGTTTAGTTTTCGACACAGAGCGAAGTGATCACAACTCTGTTACCGGATTGGAACCCGTTCAGCAGAAGGCCCATTTAAAAGTAACAGATATCACCTCACTTCTGTGGCCACACAAGGAAGAGCTTTTTTATAAATACACCTTACGATTTGATCTTCACAAATTTTATTTAAAAAAATGTATATCACCACATGTATTTCTAACACAGTAGCTTTTTCGTGGTTAATTAAGTCACGAAATTCACTACGTGTTAGCGCTACATGTCGTGATATATTTTTTTTGTAATAAAGTTTTTGGAGATCAAATTGAAAGGTTTAGTTTATGAAATCACTATGGATCTTCATCAAGTAACGACCGAATCAATTCGAAAAAAAACAAGGGCAATGTATGGTGTCTTCTTCAAAAACATTGAAAACCTTAGCTTATCAGAGCACATGTCCTTCGCTTTCCTCAGGTCGAGTGGGCTGAAGTTGGAAACTGAGGAGTTCATCATGGCCTGGCAGGATGGTGTCTTCAACACCTTAGTCTACTGCAGTCGCGTGATGGGTATAGAGGTTTCTGGCACACGATGCAGGGCCTGCTGCAAGGCGTCCGAGACCCTAATGCACTTGCTGCCTGCATGTCCAGCATATGCGGTCTCGGCCACTAACCATCGACATAACGCGGCCCTAAAAGTGTTGCATTCCCACTTATGATTCTTGTGGTATTGACGAGGACACCGGTGTTGCCCTACGCTACGGGAAATATTAAATTTGTTGTGGAGAACGAGAAGTGTCAACTTTATTGGTACTATTCGTTCCCCACCCTCAAGCTCATATAAGCTAATAAGCCTGATGTAGTCTTTCTTTACCACCAGAGCAAGACGATATTTGCCGTGGAGTTTTTAGGAAGGAAGAGAAAAGGATAAAAATCGGGATTTTCTCTTCGAACTCTGCAGACTCTATCCAGATCACTCTGTCAAGATGGTTGTTATGATTATTGGAATCCTTAGTGAAAGTATGCTCTCTCCACTCTCCAATTTCAAAATCATACCGGCTTGCCGCATTAAGGCAGAAATTTCAGCCGGACAGATGCAGAGGGCTGCCATTCTTGGCTCATTGCGCTTGCACAGGACACATAATTCTCGGAGCCAATGATCACTTACCCCACGGTGTGGTGAATGGTCGTTGGTTGATAATGCTGAATGTATCGGGACTTCGGGGGGTAGGGCATGACCTGCGGAAACTCAGGTTGAAAAAATTTAATAATAATGATAATACTTATGGTATTGACGGGACACTGGTGTTGCTCTACGCTCCGGGGGATATTGACACCGTTATGGGAAGTGGAAAGTACCATATTTATTTAAACTATTCATTCACCACCCTCATGCTCATACTAGCTAATGAACCTGATTTAGTTCTTCTTGATCTCCAGAACAAGACCATATCGGTCGTGGAGTGTTCAGCTCCGTGTGAGACTAATATCGTACGATGAAAGAGGGGAAAATGGATGAAACATCGAGATTCTCCCTGCAAACTCCGCAGTTTCTATTCAGACTACTTTGTTAAAATGATTGTTCCGATCACTGATTAGTTTCTGGTGGAATGATGCCCTCTCTACTCTCGAACCTCAAAATCCGGCTTCCTGACCACAATAAGGCAGGAATCTTGCAGAGAAATGCAGAAATGTTGAAAACACCATCACATGATGAACTCATCAGCGAAGGTCAGATGCATCGATGAGCCGATTATTATCATTATCATTATTATCATTCCCAAGGTTGCGCTAGTCAGGTCCTATACCTCTTAATAATAATAATAATAATAGGTCCTTATACCCAGAATGATACGATAAACGAGAGTGAACATTTACTGAAACGGGAAAGGCTGAAGATTAGTTGGTTGCATCAAAAGATGTAACCTATGTTTTTCAGATGGGTGCCCGTGGGGGTGTAATGCAAAATACTCATTTCATCAGAAGAGAACAGTAAATTTTATAATATTAATGGACATTTATTACAAAAAGGTTTCAGAGTTCTCCACATCATCTCAGTTTTTGGTAACCCGATATATCTTGATTATTCGCCAGTATTCATGCCAATATTTTCTCAATTTATTCAATATAAGGTACAAATCAATAAGCAATATAAAAACATATAACATGATATTCAACAGCTGAACCACAAATGCATTGCTGGACTTAACTGTCCTTGACTGGCAAGCCTCAGTAATTGAGGGCCATGAGATTTCCTCTTACGAAAAAGCCATCTATGGAATCAATAGCGGTCAGTAGCCAGGCAGTTCGACGTGGGTGTTTAGTTCACTCACTCGAATTGACTGCCG